AGATATGTTTAGTCTACCGCGACATTAGGATTACCACACCACATAAGGTAGTTGCTGCAGCACTAGCAGCCTTCGACGTCATCCCAGCACGGCCATTCCTGGTCACTGACCTTGCATATCTGCCTTTGTTTGCTCACACCAACGGCAATTTTATAAAAACTATCCCTCTGCAATGTTCCGATTGCGGAAGAGGCCAACGTGTGAACAGCACGCGATGGATGCACAAAGAAATGACAAAGGTAGCAAGGCATCCTCATGAGACAATCAAAATGGGCTTCACTGTTGGACAAAGGTTCCCCCGGAATACAATTACAATAAAAGCCTAATCTTCGGTCTCATTTCTCAACAAATTACATGTTTACTCAAACTGAATTCGTGGATAAAACTACCTTGCTGTGATGCAAGTTTGTCGCATTATCTCGGCAATTGATTCGTGATGAACCGGGGAATCTTACCACTGCTATGGATAACCAACATGGAGGTACAATGAGTGAGAGGAGCATGAAATAGAGGTGTACGTGGACCAAAATTGCGCAGTTGACTTCAGAATGTTGCTCTTCTGAGAGGACCATGACTGAGCTATTTGTAAGTATAAGCATTATCAAAAAATTAGTACGGAGTAAATGTCGGCGAACGAACACAGTGTCATCCCAAAAAGTAATAAGCATATATGAAAGAGAACACAACCAGTAGCCTAATGAGCCTTATGGCATACAAAACAACTGAATTGAAATGGATCGGAATGAAAAAAAAGTGTAAAACAAGACAAAAGGGCAGAAAAGTAGTACGCACTGAGACAACAGCTGGATTTCCCAGTGGCGTCAATGATAGCATCGAACTCGAAGGTGGATAGAGCTTCGTGGAAAGGCATAACCTCCATGCGCCAACCATGACGAGCCTTTTGCTTGCCTTCGTAAAAGGTAAAGAGGTCCCTCAGAGGACGTTCCTCCTTGCTTTCTGGAGTCCTTGGTCCTTTGTTGCCATTGCATGCAGCATTCGGCTCATCTGTATCGCCTTGATGAAAAGGAGAAGTATTGAGAGGCTTGGAGCATACGACCTACCGTACACCACCTTCGACAGCATTATTGAGGATGAGGTAAATTGGCTATGAAATAAGCTGCTTATTTTCTTAATTCAACCCCCAGAAGCGCTCAACTAGCTTAATGGAATCAGAAGTGGTTTATTTGATCAGGTGGCCAAAAAATCACTTTGGATTGAAAACCAGCAGTGTAAAAAACGCGTAATTTCACCAATAAAAGCGCTACAAATAGGTAAGTTTATGATTGTAAGCAAGAAAAAAATCATTTGGGTGGAAAATAAAATTGGCATTTGCTTCCCTTTTTTGAAGATGAGGATGGAGGGTGTGGATTCCCTAACGCATTCTTCGTACATTTTGAACAAAATACTAGCCCGTGCTAAGCCTAAAAATATCACTACGATGGCGAAAATTTGTGCTAGTTCAATCAGTTCGAGCAACACGAAACCACATAAGTTTCGATTCACAAGATGATGAATCTGGAAATTGATTGAAGTTGGTTGAAAAAGTTTTCCCAAAGCAACAGCAGGAGATATGACATCAACTCGAACTACTGAGTCATAAAAATTGCATTTTCAAGTTAAATGACACATTTTACATCAAAGACGGCTAAATGATGCTATAATTCTGGAATCCATCGTTAAATTCATTCAACACTGTCACTTGAAGATTGAAGAGAAACGAACTCACGACTCTTAAAAAAACGCCAAAATGCTATCGACACAAAGAATTCTGAACTGGAGAAGCGAGATCGAAGCAAATATGAAACCGTTACCTGAAGGCTGAATAAGCTCCCGAAATTCAACTCCAGAGACAACTTGGACGCCAAAGAGAAGAGCCACTTTAAGGAGTATGCATTGCAACGTACGGATACCTAGAATGAAAGGCGTCATTACAACACTCGTGTTTTGCGCGTTGAAGGTAAACGCACCAAAGCTAAGGCTTTCTCCTCGGCACAAATGCATTAGACATTAACAGAATCACCAAAGCTATTATTTTTGCTGCACTAGCACACACACAGAAGTAGTCGTGGGGAGCACTTCCCCGTAAGAGCAAAGTCTTTGATCTAACTCCTTGTGTAAAAAAATGAAAATGAAAAGACATGGTTGTGACTGAGGTGACTGCAGTATAATTATGCATGAGTAGTGTTAGCGGCGAGGTATGTTGAAGTATGGTCCGCATTAACAGTGTAAACCTTTGACCTAAATTTTAAAAAAATAGCATAAATTGGTTAACAGAAGACAAATGATAATGGCAAAGTATTATTAGGACTTAAGACAGATTTAAGTTCACGACCAACAGTGCTCTGGGCTGTAGCCAGAATTCAGAATCAGGTATAAAATTAGCTAGAGTAAGACGGCCTACTTAGTCAGGCTGTTGGTGCAAACTGATGCAATAAGAGTCAAATGCAATATATCCTTGATTAAACCATGAGACAGTTATTCATAAGTTTTAGAATGAATTGGAAAAAACCTTACTGAGCATGATCTCTACACATGATTAGGGATAGAAATGGGAAGGTATAAAACCTACTTATGTGGTCGATCGAGCCGGCGCAGAATTTCCCAAAAAACGACTTTGCTCCGAGTGATTTCAAGTCACTTATCAGGTAGGGCCAGAGATGGAGCACGTTGTTTCTTTAACAATGAAGTAAACATCTGATTCCCTTTCTCAGAATATTCAAATGTCACAGGATAAAAACCCTTATTTAGTAGCAACAAAGTAACGAAGCTTCACAAAGAGTTTGGAATCATGCAAAAATCCATGTGCTTAACAAAATTATTGCCATAGCTTATAATGATCTCCTTGGGGCTTAGAAAGCATTAGCAGCTTTAAAAAAAGACGAAACAAACCAATGCTTAGTCAAATCCAAATGAGTGCTGTTTCAAGGCCTAATATCGGGGGTAGACTTCAATAGTGAGTAAAAACAATTAAAATAGATCAAATTTCTATCCACAGTGCACCAACACGACCGATCTACACACGTGAATTATCGTAGTGGTTCAAATGCGAGGAATCAGAGAATGTGCATCCTTTGTATCTGACTCGCGAGCGAACACTTGACAAAACTGAAATACCTGGTCAACACAACAGCACTGACAAGCACTTTTTTGCGTACCACTAGCCTTTGAGGCTACGGAATCATTTAAACGGCAAATTATGTAACTAGAAAAATGCAAGTGCAAAGAATCAACCACACCGATATGACGCGTCAGATCGTCGACACCCAACACACTGTCTATTTTTACCAGATCCTGAGATTGTAGAAAAGCTACATAGTTTTATTCACATTTTCCAGTGTTCTGACAGCTAAATTTGGAAACGCATACAGAGAGCGTATCCGAGTTAGTGAATGTAACAAGTCACGATAAAACCAGACGGCTTGAGCGACAACCCTTACCCATCTCACAACCAGCGATCTTCAGTATGAACTATAATTAACAGATCAAGCCTACCACATGTCGAATGGCCAGTTTGGCCGAATTTAAAAGGGATGCAGACGTAAATAAACACAAACATGACCGTTAAACGAAAGATTTCACTGAGATCGCGTTGCTAATGCTCAAATTGACCAGTAACAATGGCTTCAGATTTGTCAAGCCTACTCACTTCAAAATGAAAAAAATCGGTGATTGAGTTAGTAGATATATTTGTTAAATGAACAAGGCAAAAGCTGCAAAGTAACGGTTTTGACGCAGTCGAAAAGTGAGACATTCGTTTGCTTACCTAGAAAAGGAAGTTCTTTTATCAATGATCACCACATTTGCTCCCAAGAGTGCCAGTTCTATGGCACAACGCAATCCACAAGGACCACAGCCGACAACAAGGACCTTTAATGAAAACACCAACATTATGAAAAAGACAAGAGGCAAGTTGATTTAAAAGTATGATTAAAAGACA